AGAAAAGACTCAATATCTCACGGTAATTTTGATCCTCAATAAGAGAATTGTTGAAATGCCAATAAGCACTGCCCCAGTGATGGGGCGATGGAAGTTTAATGTGTAAGTGAGCAGCAGAATGATTGGACAAGGAGCAAGGAACAATGCGACACGACGGAGTGGCCGCAATTAAATTATTTGGAACATAAAAGCGGTCAAGCCTGACTTGGGATACTCTGAATCAAAAGGGTTTTTACGCATCCAGGTGTACCGTTTAGTAGTGGGATTTAGTCTACGCCAGACATCACAGAGATTACAATGAACAAGTACATTTTTGAGAGCCATGCAGACACGGGGACGGTGCTCAGTCGGCCTGTTAGCACGATCCATGAGCGGATCACACGTGCAATTAAAATCACCTCCGACGATATTTATACTGTCATCACTAGAAAAGCTATCCAAATGAGTACAAAATTTGTCGAACACGTCAATGGCCATGTTGTCAGTTTGAGGAACAAGAAAGTTATATATATTATACACTGTGTTTTGATATTTAACCCGAGTGAAAAGAAGGTGACCTGTCACAAAAACAGTGGAAGCTACAACATCAACACTGCTACGAATTAAAACGGTGACCCCAGAGCCAGGTGCAGCTCCGGGTGCACAAACAGGAGTGTAATTTGACTAATTTTTCCAACACAAACATTGTTCATTGAGGGCATAAGTTTCCTGTAAAAGGATAACATCGAATTTCTGGGGCAGATTTGAGAAGTATTGGTGGAAAGCCATATTTCGGGTAGTTTGATGGCAGCCTCCAGTATTGAGGGTAATTATTGACAGCGCCATCAAAAAGACAAAAAGAGTATGCGTTGTGAACATAATTATCTGGAGAGGATTAAGATTCCAATTTTTTGATTAGTTTGCGAATTCTATGTTGGAGATTGTTCTGTATGATGGGGTTATTCACCAGTGGTCTCAGTTGACGAATCAGTCCTGAAGTGTCTTTGGTGAACTTACAGGAAATTGCTTTGGGGTTTCTTCGGGGTTTCTTTAACTGCGGAGAGGAACGTGATGAGTTGTGAGCTGTTAAGGGGACCAGAATGAGTGGGAAGAGTGGCAGGCATATGTCCTCCGTCAGACAAGGTCTGAGAGTCATCCGTAACGGGAGAGTCAGAATCGGTCGCTTCAACTGTGGAGATTGGGGTGACAGGGACGGGGCTGGGGGAGAAGGGTGCCGGAGTGGAGGGGGTGTGAAAGGATGCAGAAGCGGCCGTTGTGCGGGATGTTGGTGATGAGGGCATCGGAATGGTTGTTGCACCGTCTGGAGTGGCTGTGAGTTGCGGGTCCAGGGCCTGAGACAGGGTGGGATCGGTGTGGGAGATTTGTTTCCGGAGTTTCCGTTATGGCTGCGGGGACTTGAGGGGAATTAAGTTGGGTGTCTCGTCGGGAGATTTCTGCGGTGACAGTTTCCGTTTGGAGACGACATCCGAGAAAAGCCTCGTAGGAGCAGGAGGGTTACCCTAGATATAGATGTGGGTGTCCATCGGGCTTCCCCCAGATGTGTTGTTCGGTGGCTTCCTCGGTGGAGTCGCTGCAGCGCCGGAGGTGTCTCCCGCTGTGGACTCGGAAGCAGCAGCCCAACTAGCGGTGGATCTTGCAACCGGCCGCGTTGAGCTGCGTGGCTTGGGAACAGGAGGGTCCGTGGGGGCTGCGGTCGGAGGTTCGGCAGGCTGGGCTTTCTTGGGAGGATGCTTGGGGTCGGACTTCTTGTGCACGAATGTCGGCGGGGGTTTAGGGGATTGGAGGCTTCACCGTCTTCGCCATGAGTCTGGGGGTTCTTATTTGAAAGAATCACTGAATTGGAATTCTTTAATGGCTCCTCAAAACTTACAATAGAATTTAATAATTCAACTAAATTTGCATACAAGGACTTTTCCATCTTCCATCCACATACAATACTTAACGGTACATCATGATTGCAGTTAAGTATTCAGTGAAGATGAGTAAATACCGCACAGTAATCATTTCAGTTTGCTACCCACTGTGACATTTCAGCGTTTTGTTAAACAATTTACAATTTGTCTCCTTCATCAGTTCTCCAAAATCTTCACCCTTTTTACAAGGCCTGTGTCATGTAATTTATAAAAAAAACATAGTCCTTGGAAATGCACCGTTGCTTTCAATATCTGTTGTGGAAACTTTGAGGGCACCTCTGTACTTTTTTTTTCTAATGTGAATTTACCCATTCATGAGCGAAAGTGTGGTGGTCGGGTCAGAAACCTCAATGTCACAGCTATTTCAGAACCAAAAAGGTCCTGGAAATGTTGATATTTTTCTCTTTTTTTGGAAAATTTAAACAGACTTGTACACAGCAGAAAGCCAATGAGCTATTCTTTCTCACAAATGTTTCCAATAAGCAATTATGGTTTCACAATAGCAGAAAATCCCTCAACCAAACTACACCCTTCCCAGAAAGACAACTCAGCTGCCATGAATGCCTTCATCTGTCTTTAGATTAAAGTATAAAAGTTCAAAGAAGGGCATTTTCAACAGAATTTTAAAAAACAATCAATGTCAAATTATCTCCATGCACTTGAGAGGATTTGAAAGCTGTGCAAAACTGGTGTAACTCAAGACAAATTGATTGCATAAAATTGGATGTCTTACTGCCGTAAAGTAGAAAAAGTAATGTCAAATTATCTCCATACACTTGAGAGGATTTGAAAGCGGCATAAAATGTGTAACTTAGAAGAATTCGTTGCATCTGCCCTTCAAGAATTTTTCGTCTGCTCCATAATTAGAACTCGAACATAAATCACCCAGGTAAATTGAAAGTAACCAATCCATTGTCGCGTTTGTTCCAGACTTCCATTACTCCTGTGTTTGGTATTCCCACTTGACATAGAAGTTGAATTGCATGGGCACTTTCAAGTTACAGATGTAAACATTCTGAAAAAGGAGGGTAAAAACTGATTTCATTTCTGAATAATCCAAGATGCCGTTTGACATTGTAAGTTAAAAACATTCTTTTATTTGAATTCTGCAGACTAAACATCATCTCATCATTAACATAACTCCAAACACAAAAGCAGACTCCCCTCAATAACCCTGACACCACTCCAAAATGTTAACGGAAAATGTCAAGAATGCTCCAGTAACAAAAAAGCAAAGCAATCAAATGCATTTGGCTTCAGTTTGACGCACAGCGGTACCTGTACGTTATTTAACCCCCAAAGAGCAGGATAATTTTGCACCGTCTCAAAGAGGCGGCAGATTCCTCCCCCCCCCCAAAGTCTACTGTCACATGTCCTTAGCATGCACGTAGAGGCACTCATTATCAGTACAGCTGTGAAGTTTTGATTCAATGTGACACGCACTTTTGATGTTCATTGTCCTAATTGCGACATGTATACATTCTTACCATTAGTTGTTTCTCATAGTCAAACGGAACAGCAGTGCCGTTGATTGTCACTTGACTGACCGGGCGAGGAACCGTCCCAAGGATGATTGTCTCTACAGTGACGGGCTGTGATCCTGAATACCCATCATGCACCACGGTGGAATTCATCGTTGTTGCATTCGATGCAAACTCCACAAAGAGATAGTTGCCACTCTCGTATGTGTCTGCCAAGGATGACAATTATGACAATGACACTCGGTCAACAAGTAACTTTATTCTCACTTTCAAACAAAAGAAGGACCACAATACACGATACGAATACCCACGCTGATTGTTACAGTGACAATTTCAAGCGCGTTTTAACCACTTGCTGCCGGGGAACCCCGTTTTGAGCACTATGGGTTTATACGCAGGGCTGGGCAACCCAAAATCGGACAAAAGAGCTGGTCCATGTAACAAAAGATAATACTCGGAACAAAGGACCTGCTGTTGGGAATTGCTATCATTTTTTAGGTTTGCATTTTTCCAAGGTAATCCATAGAGCACCCGCGGATTAGCACCGCGGACAAAAGTGCTCCAGGGCCCCAATGATGAGCGACACAGCACTGCTGCATGCTAATGATTCAGCCGCGTTTGAAAAGACGCCACTCGCATTAACTGGGGACAAAGGAAATTACGCAACACCTCACTTCTGGGTTCCCTTTACAGGGTGGAAGGCCTGGCTGAAATACCCAGGAGTCAATGAAGGTTGCCTGTCAGCTTGGAGTAGCCACCAAACAGCCGTTCGTGTGGGTGTAAACGTCCATAAATGAAATGATGAATTTTTGAAGAATTTTGAAAACTGAAAATCTTGAAAATCTTCATTATGTGTGCACGGCATTTTTGAGAGCACCCAGCAGCAAGTGGATAAACATCATTTCCACCTAAGTTCAGTTCAGTTCAATGTATATTTACTCCTTTTCCAGTTAAATTTACAAACGGAAATACCGTGGAGAGAGAAAAGACTGCACTATAATTGGAAATTCAGTGGGTAAGTCACTAGGAAAGCAAACTTTATATGGTGGAGACACCCAGAACATGTGAGCTAAATACATGTATGTTTTAGATGATACAAAAAGGGACGACAACACAAGAGGTTTTCCTAGGCAGTCATGATCATACATGGTTCTCCCAAATCTGACACTGTATGTGCACATAAAGTGTACATAGTTGAGTACAAACAGCTTCTCCAAAATCTGACACTGTATGTGCACATAAAGTGTACATAGTTGATTACAAACAGCATGTTAGAGGTCTGACAAACCTACCAAGAGAGTCTCCGTCATCCCAGAAGAGTTGACCGGTACCAGGGCTCCTGTCACTACGAGTGATCAGCAGAGTGAAGGCAAGCTGGCGATACTGGGTCGTGGTGGTGGGATTGCCCCCCGAGGGTAACTGCAAAGGGACGATGCGACCTTCTCGCACATGAACATTGATCTCGTTGAGGGGCGCCGGTAAAGTGACTGGCTGGGTACTGTCCACTTGGAAATGAGTCCCCTACAAAGAAAGCGACAATTATCATAAGGCATGCACTTCAGTCATCGGCAAATAAAAACCCAGAAGTTTGAGGCTTTCGGACATGAAGAACATCTTCAATGGGTTTGAGCTTCTGGATACAAACAGAAGCTGAAAAAGATGTCGTGGTCTTCTACAAAAATGCCAAGTCGGTTTAAAATTAAACAACTGATCTTTGTAAGAAGTTATCTAAAAATTACATTTTTACTTCAATACAAATGTCACACTTAAAATAAACGAGTAATTGGCTGTACAAAAAATTTAAGTGATTATTAAAGTATTGTATTTTTTTCACTGTAAGAAATACATGTATGTGGGTGTAAATTAACCATAAATGGTGTGCATGAGAATAAGCTGAAACAAACTCTATACATGACAGTCTGTTGCCCTCTGTGGACATACTTGCGGGCAGTCATGAGCCAAATTATTAACCCCTTAGCTACGGATGATGGCTACTACCGCACCATTGTGTGAGGATTACATACAGTCTATCTACCATGCAGCTGCTGGTTCAATGGGGCCTGCTGCTGGACAAAGCCCTCCATTCAGGGCATACCTCAGCCCAGCAGTCAAGGTCAAAAGAATCCC